TAGCAGACTTGTAGCTAGGGAGTTCAAGCAAGCTAGTCAAACGAATGATGTATTCTCCCCGGCCACAAATACGAGTCTAGTCCGCGGACTCCCTGTATTAGCGCCACAAGCAGGACATGAAGCTCTACAGCGTTGGTGTCAAAGATGCTTTCTTACAGATACCTCAACAGAGGAAAACGGCGTGCTTATTTTCTCAGGACTTAAGTCATGGCTGGTGAAAACACGGAGTTCAGGAAAGTCTTGCACGGAAGAGCGATGATTCTGCTTCGTGTGTTGCCTGGACAACGGGATGCAGCAGTTCTGTGGTCAGACTTCTTCAACGAGGAGTTGGTCCAGGAAGACAACTTCGAAAGGAACTTGGCATGTCCCACGTTGTACCGTAGACCTTCAGGAAGTTTGGAAGTTTTCTGGTCATCCATGTAGATACGTTCAAGCAGGAGAGGTCGGTGATGATTTGAAAGGTGTCATTTGAAATTTTGCCAGGAAATTTTGAGACTAAGATTGGAGGCCCCTTTTTGACACCAGATGAATATGCTGAAGGCTTCAGCGAGATCTCCATTAGGTTTCTGAAAAGGAAGTTTGTGTATTTTGACTACACTCTTCACATCATTCCAGATCCCAAGTACTGGCAGAAGCTTGAAGAAGCATTAAAGAAAAACTCAAAAGGAAGCTAGCCTACTTCTTGTGCTCATGAAGCACAGATAGCTGATGATAGCAAAGAACGCGATGCTAATCAAAGCTCATTGCGCGGGAAGCGTGTAGGGATTAGTAGGAATCGTGTTGTACATGGCCCAGGACAGACCAGACATTCAGTTCTCTGCCAGAGGGTTGTCAAGCAAGATGTCGAGCCCAACATTCAAAGCTTACGAGCAACTTGTTCACACTGTAATAAGACTACCCACTTTGTGTACAGGAAGACTCTTGTAGAACTTCCTCACCTTCATTCAGACGTCAATCAGATCAGGAAGTCTCGATTACAGTAGCATTGCTGACAGTCTTAAACACTGTATTGAGTGCTATTCAGACTCTGATGGGGCAGGATGTAAGGTAAGTAGGAAGAGCACATCCTCAGGAAACATGTTCTTGGATGGACAACTTCTGTATGAATTTTCAAGGACCCAAAACACAGTTGCGTTGTCTAGTGGTGAAGTTGAATACTATGCTAGTGCAAGCGCAGCGTCTGATGCAGTCTTGGTAAAGGAAGTGGTAGAGTTTCTCAGCCAAAAGAAAGCGTCGTTGCAATTGTTTTTGGATTCATCAGCAGAGGCGTGATTGCACGTAGAGGTGTAGCAAGAATCAAGCACATTCAAATCAGGGCGTTGTTTCTGCAGGACTTACACAAGCAAGGAAAACTCACAGTGCGCCCAGTTGGAACAAAGGAAAATACCGCCGATCTTGGAACAAAACCACTCTCAGGAAGCCGTATCCGTTTGCTCATGGGTTGGCTGGGATTTTTCTCTGAAGGAAAGCCAGTTGGAGAAAAGGAATAACGAGAGTACATGGAGAGCAAGCAAATCAAAGCAATGGTTCAGCGCGTTCGTCCTGTAGACGTTTTGCACTTGCAGCGTGACTTCTAGGAACAGGTTTTGTGGGAAGTGAAGGCTCAGAGGTGATGACAAGAAATGTTTTACAGTCATGACAGTTTGCAAACATGTCATGTGCAGTCATGTTCTGTGAGCACGTCAATCATGATGCATTCAGTCATGTGCAGGAAATGTGTCCATGTTTCATTGCATGCACTTCGCAAGAGTTAGTGAGAGAGAAGGAATAGAGAGTTATAGAGCAGCGTTTTGCAATCAAGGAAATTTGCCAGTAGCCCATCAAATTTGTGAGACACAGCCATGGACGCTAGTGACGGAAACACTGGTGAACCTGCAAGCAGCACGCTTCTCAGGAAGATTGACAGGATCTTGGCCACGCCAGAAGCAATCCTCATGCAGTCTGAGGAAACGGACAAACTGTTGAAGGAATTCGTTACTAGAGTTACAACCATGGAAGGCTACGTGGTGTTTGCAGAAGGAGAAGAAAAAGAAGCAGAAAAGGAATATTAAGCGGAGGACGCAGATGTAGAGGAAGAAAAGGAGGAGCCACAAAGCGGAAGAACAAAGGAAGGAGAAATGAAGTACAGAGACAGCAACACACACAAGGAGGAAGAAGAGGAAGGAAAGCAGAGAAAAGTGCAGGAGATTACAGCAGTTTACAAAGCAGCACCGGAAGCACCAAAAGCAGGTCCTATGACAGGACAATCAACACCGGTGAAGAGTCCATCACCAAGGAAGACAGGAAAGGAAAACAAGGTAGAAGAGCTCAAGAAGATGAGAGAGGAAGCAGCCAAAACAAGAGAGGTTTGGAGGAAACAAGGAGGAATGGGCAGCGCAAGGACAACCAGGAGCAAGCCAGGAAAGAGTTGACAATTGGTGTGAGGACTACAAGAAGAAGACAGAGCAGCAGCAAGGAGAAGAGGATACAACAGTAGACAGGCAGCAACAGCAAGAGCCAGAGCAGTTCTCGAAGCAGCAGCTGATGAGGAAGAAGAAAGCCAAAGGAAGGAAAGACTGAGAAAAGTCAATGAGGAGAACAGGCTCAAAGCACAGAACACGAAAGCAAAGGAAGAGGACATGAACTACCCATATGATCCAAGTGGGTGGGTTGAGTTCATTGAGGATGGTCATGTCTATGATTGCAACAAAGTTATAAAGGAAAAGATTTGAGCAGGAAAAGAAGCAGTCTACAAGTTTCAGAAAGGAACGGGAAAGTTTGATACAGGAAAGAAAAGAGGCGAAGATGAAGGAGATGCAACATCAGCAGGATCCGCAGATCCAGCACCAGCAGAAGGAGCAGCACCTCAGGAGGAAGTGAGTTCCAGTCAGCAGATGAAGCTGACGCACACACACACACAAGGAACACCAGGAAAACAGCAGCAGCAGCAGCAGCAGCAGCAAGATGATGCAACAAACATCAGAACAGCAGAACTTGAGTGCGAACTCAAGGAAGCAATGAATGATCTCAGCATCAGTGAGCAGATCAGGAAGGATCAGCAACGAGCAATTGAAAGAGAGCATGAACCAGCTTGTCAGAGTAGTTGAAGAGGTTGAGATTGGAGCTTGAGGCAGCAAAGGAGAAGGAGAAGGCAGAAGATGACAAGGAGAAGGCAAGTGGGGAAAAGAAGAAGAGCAAGCAGGAAAGTGAAGAAGCCACAGGAAGCACAGAAGGAGAGGAGGAAAGACAAAGCCCCAAGGAGGAAGAGTCAAAGGACAAGAAGACTCTGACTTGAGTGCAGACCAGACAGAGTTCTGGGAACGGAATGGCGAGGTGTACAAGTGGTGGAAGAATGCCAGGAATGAATGGTTCTGGCAGGACAAGAAAGATCCATCGAAGTGGACAAAGTTCACAGGACTTTCCAGTAGCACAAAGAAGCTGGAAAAGGAAAACGGGCCGGACAGCGAGATGGCAATGGTCCAGGAACTCTTCTACAACGACCACTATTACCAGAGCATGTACAGACGCAATGTTGTGTGTTGTTTTTGTTGCAAGGAAATAAGTGCAGTGCATATCCAGATCGTATAGGATGTTGTACAAACGTTCTTTGTGAAGGAATAGTTTGTAAGCAGTGATGTGTGTAATAGAGTTACACTTCCCCTGTAGCAGGATGTAGAAGTCCCTTCAGGATACAATGTATCCTTCTGTCACTTCAGAGGTGTTTTGTTAAACATTACTGCCGTGCAGGTGCTACAGGTAAGGAATGCTTCGCATGAGCAACCAGCATGTGAAATGCAATGTACAGGCTCAGGACTAGACACCAAGGACACTTAGCAGCGTCAAAGGAAAGAGGTGTCTCCAGTGAAGTGCATAGGAAAGCCATTTTTCGTCAAAATTACCAAGTCCAGCGATAAAGAACTTGCAGAACCCATGGGGGCTTAGAATCAGACCTATATCCAAACAAGTGAGTCGGGTCCCTTAGAAATCCACCCAGAATACAGCAATGCCATATGAGCTGTAGCCTACACTCCTTGAAGGGGGGCTATAAATCCGGTTTACTGAGGGTGATGCTAGGAGTTAGACTATGGCTCGTATGCTCATTAGCATGAAAACGAGAAAAGCATTCTTCACTTGCGGCCTTCCAATTCTCGCCAAGCGCTGTGCCCTAATCTGAGTTAGATCCCCAGATCCTTAAATCGCCAAAGCCTAATTTTCCCAGGCTGCAACCTATAGCTAGACACCTCTCCCTAATAATGGTCCCCCTCCCCACACCTTCATAGCAAATCGTCCGTACATAGTGCTATTACAAAGCCGGAGGAATGTTGTTCACCAGGAGAGTGTGGTGTCATTGTTTGGGAGGGCTTCGTTTTTTGATGTTCTTCCCCCGTCGCTTTGCAGGGGCCTTGGGATGAAAGTGATTAAGAGGCATTACCCAGGCAAGCATCACAGAAGCTAATGCAGGGTTTTGGGACATTGTATATTTTAATTGTATAGGGGGTTTTTGGGGATAATATTGACAACTAGGTAGGCGTCTACATTACTCATATGACATGTTGACCCACCAAATCCTTGACTATTGACCATCTTGCGTCAAAAACAGGAACTTCACTTAGGACTCTAGAACCCTCAGCCTCGGAATCTACGACACTAGCACAAAACCACGTAGCCTGAACCCGAAAGCGCATAGGACTTTGACCACCCAAAAGCGCATAATAATGGCCTCCATCGGTAAGATATTGGGCATGATGCCCATTATGATGGCTACTGGTAGGTCTAGGTATCGCCTGCATAGCGCCTACATAAACAGAGCTTCCATTTCATGTTCCATGTCCTTCCAATATGAGGGGAACCCAAAACGTGAGGCTTCTCTAAACGGTATAGAACCCGATATATCTAGCCCAAATACACCCTACAATATCCCTATATCGTCTATTTCTTATCCTATTCTATGATTCATATATAGTATGTTCCCATATTCCTTGCTAAGAACCAGAAAATAAAGGCCTTAGACCGGCAACCAGGTGCTCGTGGGCAACATGGGCTTCCACTCTCGTATCAAGCAACTTGCAGTTCTTGTTTGGCGTAAAATCTGGCGGCCCAAGTCTATGCATGATCCCTACCCAGACCCTCCTATGTAGTTCGATTTGGGTACCATACTATAATCCTTTACACCAAAACCGCCACAAACCCAATTTAAAAATACATAGGAGCCCTTGGGCATTTTAGGCCTTTAAGTAACACTTGCTTGGGGCTATTTCGATCCCTAGAGTGCGCGGTTGTGGGCTTAGAGCTTGTAGGATTCGGGGTCGTGGGGGGTAGGTTACAGGGCTTCTGGGTGTGGTTGTAGGGCTATAAAGGGCTTCTGATTGGAGAGTCAGAAGTCTCTACAACTTGTGGTTCAGTCAGGCTGGTGTTTGTATGGATAGGACTGTGGATTCGATGCGAAGACATAGTTTTGCAAGTGTTGCGTTTTCGACCTCGAAAAAATGCGTGGCCTCTTGAACCAGCTCAAGTTAAGAGGGTTAAGGTTTTGGGAAGGCTTGTAGACCGGACTTTGTGTGGGGCTAGGGGTGGGGTGGGGGCTCGAGGTGTGGTGGATTTCAAGGCTTCGAAAGGCTAGGAGTCTCGCTGCCATCGTGTTGCAACACAGCCCTTAGGAAAGGGACAAGGCATTCCGTCTGAGCGTCCGTAAGGGCCTTTCCATTTTGGCAAAAACACGTGCAATGTATTTAGAAGGTGGTACGTTCTGTATCTTTCGCAACAGGTCTCAAGCACGTCCGGCCTCCAGAATACTAAAGGTACTAAGTGGATCTCAGAGTAGAAGACTTCATTGCAGATCCGGGGTCCTGTTGTTGAGTGAAGGCCTAGCATCTTCACCAAGCAGGTCTGTGTCTGGCTTTACGGCCTGTAAACATGAAATCTTACTCTCCTGCCTCAAGCTACGCATTTCTTCCTCCTTGAGACTTAGCTTGGACCTTAGACCCTGAAATGTTGCAGTATCCCATACACTCCCATTATAGGTACCCAAGGGTCCACTCTCAGTGGGGGTCCCAAGTACCACGCTATTTCTTAAGCAGAAGACTTGGGCTGTGACTTGGGCAGTCTTTGCAGCCTACCTGGCCTTTATCTTTCATTCCCACGAACCCTCCGGCCTTGACCCCAAACTCAACCCTGAAGCGTGCACCAGTAGACGTTTGCTGCCTTCCTTGAAAAGCCTTATTGTAACAGTCGCAGACACCGGTACTGTAAGCCGAGGTCTTATCCTTTTCGCAACCCAAGTATTTTTTCGGTGTAAGCCTGAAACTTAGGTATGGTACGATGGGCGAAAACGCTAGCATTCCGTCAAAGCTAGAGGAGCTCAACAAGACGTGCCACAGCTTTTGTTGAAGGTTCACGGGATAGGGTACAGCTCCGGGCTGATTCAGTCAGTGGCTCCTTAAGGTTATCGTCTTTGGGAGGAATTCCCGTATGATAGCAGCACTCCCACTTGACATATACAAAGGGGCCCTAAGCTTTAGAAAGTCCCATATCGAGTGGTCAGAGGTTGTGTGTTCAGGGAAGACGAGGTTGAAGAGCGGAAGTTAAGGTTTCACAGTACAGCATTTGCTGTGAGTATGGTGCAACCGCTGGAAGGTGATAGTCCCCAAGACGAGATTTGCTAATCGTGTATGCATTCATTACATGAGGATAGTTGAAGCAAATAGCAGTCCTCCTAAGTGCCACCTAAGATATTTGTCGGCCCTTAGTTTTGTGGAAAGGAAACATGGATAGCAAAACATGTTGGAGCCTTTGCAAAGGGGTACTGGTGCTTCCCGGAGAGTAGAGGAGCGAGGATCTGTGGGTATATATGGAGACCATGGGGGGATAGTGCTAGGTACACGCTCCCCCATTCCGCCTTAATTAGCAAGGTTAGGGTTAAGGGTTTGGAAAGGCTGATATGGCTGCGGAAAAAAAAAAAACCGGGTTTGTAATGGCGCGGGCGGTCATTCTGCGACGTAGGCTTGCAACAACGTAGGCTTGCAACAGAACAGCCTGGCTCGTGACAAGTCTCCTTTGTGGGGCATACAGCATATGAGCTATAGTCTAGACTCCTTCCTTAACAGGGGTTATATAGGGAATTATATACGGGAGCACTACTAGGAGTTCGGACTGCGGGCGCAAAGGTATGTCGCAGCGGGTTTCGTCAAAGGCAAAAGGGTTGCCCTCACAAAACGGTTGTTTGGCCACCGCCGTATGACATGTAGCAGTCAGGTCTAGCGTTGGATGGATATGGAAGTACAATGCGCATCCTCATGATCAAGGATCGCTTCTAGGTGTCCTCAAATGAGGGTTGTTCTAAAACCCTTGTTTTGTTTTTTATAAGCCGAGTTCG